CATCCCCCACTGCCTCGATAGATTATTCAATCTCGCCTCACTCATCTGCAACGTTAGTTCCAGAAACAACAGTATGCCCTCAGGAGCAGTCGTCTACCATAAGTTTCTCTAGCGAAACTTCAGCTGGTATTATGGCCCCTCCGTCCACTACGTGTCCCACGGCCATTGCGGTACAGGATTAACCAGAAGCTTCCAATTCTAATTACCAAGCTTCCATTGCGTCCGCGCCAACACCAGTATTCCGCACTCTGCTGCTAGCTGCCCAACAGCTTCTTTGCAACTGCGCCTCTCCTGCCAAGGAGAAACAGCGCATACTTCGGAATCTGGTGAATTCATTCGCTACTGATGGATCGAGGATAGCATTTAGTGAGGCCCTAAACGATGTGTGTGCTACTCTCTTTCCACACAGATGGATACCTTCGAAAAAACGTGTACATACCGTTAAGATTTGAAACAATCAGCACCGGCGACGCCTACAATATGGCCATATTCAACCTCTTTATCATACCCCCCGGAAAGACGCTGCAAGTACGGTGATTGACGGAAGATGGCGCACTGCCTTTCTTAATGAGGACGAGAACATTCTAGGTTTCACGGGATATTGGAAGAATGTCCTCTCCAGATCTTCTGCTAATGATGAGCGCGCACCGCGTCGATTCCTTCCAGCTAATGATGACTTGTTGAAGCCAATTGTCCTGGAGGAGATGCAAAGTGTTCTCAAACAGATGCGGGGTTCTGCTCCCGGTGTAGACCGCATCAAGCCAGCCGATATTTCAAGGATGGATCCCTACTTTGTAACTTCTTTTCTCAACTGTCTTCTTGCTTCCTACCCATTTCCTATCCACATGAACACTGCTCCGATCACCTTCGTACCAAAAGTTTCCCAGGCCATCTCCCCTGATCAATTCCGTCCAATCGCAGTTTCATCTGTCTTCACACGCCTTCTTCATCGTATCCTCTTTGATCTTTGGGTTCCGACTTTCCCTACCGACCGCCTTCAATTTGGTTTTCTTCGTAAAGATGGCGCTTTCGAAGCCCCTTCCATACTCCATGCTGCTCTTCGCCATTCTCATTCTTCTCGTACCCCCCTTTCATTTGCGGCAGTGGATATCTCGAAGGCGTTCGATTCCATTTCTCATCACTCCTTACTTCGAGCAGCAGCTGCTTTCGGAGCCCTCCCCCGCTATTATTAGATTACTTGGCATCGTATTACAGCTCCGCGTCCTCAATCTTTAATGATGTCAAGCTTCATCCTGATAGAGGGGTCCGGCAAGGAGATCCGCTTTCGCCTTTGCTCTTCATAATGTCCCTAGATGAAGTTTTACACGGAGTCGCCACTTCGCCTTGGATATCACCGGCTGGCCCGATTAAGTACCTCGCTTACGCGGACGACGTGATCATCTTTGCTCAAGCCCGCATTTCTCTGGGAGATCACCTTCAGCGATTCCATCAACGACTGCAGTGCGTCGGCCTCAACATCAACCATCTAAAATCTTTCTCGGTAAATATAATTGTTGATGGCGCTCGTAAACGAACCATACTGAATACGAATGCTTTGGATTGTGGTCCTATTTTTATTCCCTCCATTCAACCCGATGAAAAGTTCAAGATGTTGGGCCTGCCTTTTAACTGGAAGGGTAAGCTCCCTCTAACAATAATCGACAATATTACGGTTAAACTTAACGAAGTTACCAAGGCACCGCTTAAACCACAACAACGACTTGAGATTCTGAGGACCTATCTGTTCCCTAAGCATGTTCATCAGTTAGCTCTGGCAATGGTTCACCGGAATACATTGAAGCGGTTGGATCGCATTGTCAGATCACACGTCAGAAAATGGCTGCGCTTGCCGTCAGACACCTCCATTGCATATCTTCACGCTCCCATTGCGAGCTTTGATTTGGGTATTCCGTGTCTGTCAACGAGTATTCCCCTGCTACGGAAGGAGAGGCTGGAACGACACCTAGCCAACTGCCATCCAGTGACCAGTTGGGCGATCCGGGACCCTGCAACCGCTGCCATCCATCGTCTAGCGCGCTCCACTGTTACCATCCGTAATCGCGTCGTCATGGATAAAAGCTCAGCTGCGGAAGCCTGGAGAGATGCTTTTTTGCTTCAGTGGATGGCTCTCCCTTGCGAAATGTGGTCACGTCACCTTCCGCTCACCACTGGCTGAGGGACCCTACCAGGATTTTTCCACGTCTTTTCATACAGGGTGTCCAGCTACGGGGGGTGTTCTTTCTACCAAAACGCGACGGAGCAGAGGCAGATCTACAAATGACCCGGCTTCTCTCAACTGCCGCGGGAGCTGCGGACAAAAAGAGACTCTGTCACATGTTCTTCAGGCGTGCTGCATCACGCATGATGTCCGCTGTAAACGTCACAATGAAATTGCCCAACAGATTGCCAGGCAATTGCGGCGCCGAAGCATTAACATTGTTATGGAGCCGAGGATTCCGACAGCCACCTCCTTCATCAAGCCAGACCTGCTTGCGGTTAGAAATTCTACGGTTCACATTGTGGACGTGGCCATCTGTGACGCGTACCGAATGGATTGTACTTATAAATTGCAAGTGGATAAATACGGATCAGGGGAGAATGCCGCAGCCATATCGCGTTACATACGTGAACAGTTTCCTGAGACGACAAATATTGTTCACCATCCCGTCGTTATCAATAATCGAGGGATGATATGTTCCACCTCAGCCAAACATCTTACCGCACTCGGGATGACATCACTTGATATTTCTGACCTCTGTGTTTCCACTCTTCGTCTGACTCTGAAGGTCTACGATATCTACATGCGTGGTGCATCATCACGCCTTACATAACATGCACCCAATCCCACACGGTGACAATTGATGCGGTTCCGACCACTGTTTGAAGTTTTTTTATCTCAATCAGTGTTTCCTATTCTGCCGGGACATTCGTCCTCTCTTGGCATATTACTGTACAGCTCATCCCTCGAACCATGCATGCAAATGTCAAAAATAAATGTTAATGGCATCAACTTGCTGAGTTGTGTGGGCAAAGCGATTGCCCGAATCCTGCTCAACCGCCTCATCAGTAAGGTTGTGGAACCGAACGTGGCGGAGGAGCAGTGTGGATTCCGTTCGGGTCGCAGCATTATAGATATGGTGTTTGCGGCTCGTCAGTTACAGGAGAAGTGCATAGAACGACAACAGCCATTGTACTCGCTTTTTGTTGATTTTCAAGAACGAAAGATCGAGGGTGAACAATTGTTTTCGATGATTCATCTTCAGACCTGTACAATCATATGGTTGAAATCGCAATAGGAAAGTACAAGGGGATTAACGATCAGTTCAAATGAGATAGATCACGTGTCGATCAAAGGCATGAACCAGTAACAAACAGCAAACTAGGTCTGAGGTACCGTTGCACAATTGCAGTTGCTGTCCGAAGGATCCGTTTTGGCTGGCCAAGGTAGCTGAACAGCTTCGATCAGCTTCTTTTGTGCACACAAAAGAGGTTGGTACAACCGAATGCTGATCGCCTCGGCAGTAGCAAGGGTCCGGAGGCGCAGGCCTTTCGACTGGAGTGGAGGGACCCTGTACAGTATTCGAAAGGCACTGACTGGGTCAACCTCATGCCCACTATCAACCAGATGAGCCATAACTGAGCTAGTTATAGCTCCAGTACCACCTCGACGCAACCAACGTGGTAGGTGCTCCTTAATGCGTTTCGAAAGTTGCCGCGCCGTTCGACCGATGTAAGTAGCGCCACAAGCGCACTTGAACTGATAAATTACCATAGAAGCGGTCAGCGTCGGTAACTTGTCTTTGTTGTAAATACGGATGAGTGGCTCCGTGGAAAAGGTACACCTAAGTTTGGCATTTGATACTGTGAACCGCGAGGCATTGTGGCTGGTGTTGGGTAAGTTTGGTTGCCCGCGTAAGTTTGTAAGTTTAATTGGATGTCTGCACAGTGGTATGCGAGCGAGGGTGCAGCTGAGTGGAGAGACCTCGGATGACTTTACAATTGTCTCTGGTGTGAAGCAAGGCTGTGTCTTAGCTCCTGCCCTGTTTAATATATATCTTCATGCAATGATGTCCTGTGCTTTTGATGCGGCTTGTGTTTAAGGTGTTCGTGTGGAGCACCGTATTGATGGTGGGTTGCTGAACATCCGTCGTTTCGGTGCGAGAACTCTAGTCTGTGAGACAACTATCCGTATGTTGCTGTTTGATGATGGTTGTGGTTTGTTTGCACACAGCGGGGATGAGTTGCAGCACATGACCAATGCTCTGGCTTCGACAGCGGCCAAATTCGGGCTCACCATCAACACAAGCAAAACTGTCTGTCTCTTTCAGTCTTCACCGGATGTGCAAACTGTAATGGTGCCGCGAATCAGCATTGGTGATGAAGTATTGGAAACCACCTCCCGCTTCTGCTACCTTGGGAGTGTGATCACGACTGATCAGCAGCTACATATATATATATATATATATATATATATATATATATATATATATATATATATATATATATATAAAAGATACAGTCACCTTGACGTTTCACACCAGGTCTCCTTCTCGCCTCAGCAGCAACGTCATTATAACGGTATGGTACCGAAACATGGCCACAAAGTACTAAGGTACTGCTATTGATAATGAGTCGTGAAGCCAAGTTCCACATAAAACACACTTGTAGTCAAACACCTTTCTTCGTTTTCGTCAGTTCTTTAATGATACTTGGCTACAGTAGACTATCTTTGACCTAACTTTTGTTTATGTTACGACTTTTACTCTCTTCGGCTGTATACACTCATCCGATTAAATAGTCAACAATTGTACATCTTTGTTTGTGTGTGTATGTGCGCGCCTGCGCGCTCGACTGTGGTTTTGTTGTCTATCTCAGCGCTTAACTCGTCTGCCAATGGCCTTTTGCGGAACCAATTTGAATATGCAGCGGTCTCGGAATTTTTTCTCACACCACTTTTTGGTCCTGTCTCACCACCGCTTCACATTCCGCTTGCTTTTCAGGTAGCCAAAGCGCAAGCCAGACTTTCGGATGATGGAGAGCGTATCCTTTTATTAAATTGATCCTGTTTCTCTTTCCCAGGTCCCTGTATACACTGGCATCATTCGTTTTGTTCACCCTACTAACTCTTCTCTTGTTTGGAATGGTAACGACTGGCTTCTGACTGATCGCATCGCATTTAGTTCTTCGTGTGAATACCACAGAGCATCATTGATACCTCATCACTATTCCTCTGGTATCACTCAAACTCTAGTGCGTTCGAGTGATATAATTGGAACATCAAACTCACACACCTAATGCCACTCACCCATGCTCACATCCCACCTGCGGTTGCTACTTTCGCAAACCATCACTTTCGGCATCGTTCGGTCATATTAGTGTAGAATGAGTCAAGGAGATGAGTTAAGCTTCTGTGCCATCCACGCCCCCCACACCACACCAGGACTGGTCGCTTGCATTGGTTTACTTATAGGCGTGTACTACGCGTCAGTCACAGTCACTTCAGGCAGGAGTTTCTACTTGTTACTATTATTTGCCTCGTACGCCCTGAGAAGCACTTCAAATCGATACTGTCTATATGTTTGCTTTTATGCACCTGATTACCGACGTTCGTATTCAAGCTTAGCACATCATACTGGACGTCGTCTAGCAACTTTGGAGGAGGTGTCTTCTCTACATAACTCATTCTGTGTCCATTGTTCGTTCCTCGGAATCACTGTTGGCCAGATGTGTTTAAAATGACCCTAACAACCTTGGTTGTAGGGACACACTATCCCCATTAATCTGGCCACGGTAGATGCACCGGGTTCTGTGGTATTTTTATCGTAGCTCAGCCATTGCAGTACAATGACTGACCTATGTCCCCCATACTGCAATGCCCGCTGGTGCTTCTCTCAGTAGGGTCAGGGCCCCTTTGTCAAAGCACATTGGTTGTCGCACCCGGCCACAAATCGAACGGGCTCCGACTTAACTGTTGATATTCGCCACCTTCTCACCCATTCGAGTCCGAATAGCTTGACGGCTTCCCTCATTCGAAATTCAGTGGTTGATGAGAGGATTATCCTGTTCTCCGAGCCGGGCATTTCTGTTGCAGACGTTTCCTTACTAAATTAGGCAACATTTTCAGTGCGGCTATACAGTCCTGATTCGCGGAGTCTCTCAAACAAATGCCAGGTCCGAATGACTATTGATTGTTACCTGCTTCGAATGTCAGTCTTCGTTTGGTTCATCTGAGTCGGTCAAGTGACCACGTGTTCTCCTTGTCAATCTGTTGCCTATTGCTGGTTTAACCTGCAGTGTTTCGTAGACACCCTCCAGGTGTTTGTTGATTGAGTTCCGACCAGAATGCTAGGCCTCGAGGAACTCACGCGTTCTGTGGTTTCTTGCTCTTCCAAGTATTTCAACGTTCTCTAGATCGAACTGATGGTCCTCAGCATCCATATATAGTGACATTAAGGATTTCTCATCGTGACGGTGGATGGCCAGACTATGTTTGTGCAGTCTTGTGCCAAGTTTGCTTCCAGTCTGGCCTACATAGTACTTGTCGCAGTTCTTGCAGGAAATTTTGCAAACTACACGTGGTGCTCCTTCCTTACTCAGTTTGTCTTTTACCTTAAAAAGTTACTTCCAGTGGTTTCCGTTGTTTCGTGTGCAACATTTCTCCCGTGCGACATTAGAAACCGCGCTGCCTTTTGAGAAATCCCATGGGTATAACGTAGAATAATCGATCTACTTTTTGTTGTACTTGTGGATGCGGGTTGTGACTGGCTCTTGGACATCAGGTAGCGTAGAACAAAGCTTCTATGGTACGAATTTCGCTGAAATATACCTAGTAGGTGGTCCTCCTCCGCCTTCATCAGTTGCGGTGTGCTACAGTGTGTCTGGGCCCTTTTGTAATGCGTCTTCACGCGTTTCCGACCATATACAAGCGAAGTTGCATGAAGACATATAATATTGGAGGTAGCCACTGTGAAGACGTCGCGACCAGGCAGCACTTTTTACAAACAGTGGATTTTGCTTGCTGCTCAGACTTTGGCTCTTGGTGGGCTAATAGAAATGTATATGGACATTTTGCGCCGTTCTGCTTCCTGCTTGTTTGTCAACCCCTCACAGAAGTTGCACCATTGCACACAGTATATTTGACTTTTCATCCAAAATATGTTGGTTTCTTTTCTCACACGTCCTCACTTTTATATGGCTACGATACGATTGCTGGTCGATGCATAGCCCATGTGTCCTCATATGGAAGAATACTTTTTTGTATCTCGCTAGTTTTTCAGACTTTCCCTTTGATTAAACTGCGGCTGGCGGATGTGGTTGGTAACGATTATCATTCTCCACTCAAGATCTCGAAAGCAACAAACGCCGTCGTCATTGTTTGCCCCATACGTTACACCTGGCTGGATTCTGATCTACCTTAGAGACGCGGGTGACTCAACGTCCCAGTGGTCTGCCTTTGCTTAGCAGGCAATTTAGCACTCTGATAGTAAGTCGTCTAGCCAGCCGTATCCTGGAGTGGGGCTGCAAGATCTCCGATTTAAGAGATTTCTTTGGGAATCCTGGTTTTGGTTCTATTCGCGACGCATTGACGTGTTTTGATTGCCTCTGTTTCTCCTTTGTTCACCAATGGCTCTCGACTGGCGACACCCGACTCCAGAGCCGTCTCTTGATCAACCGTGGATTTCTTTCCGCGCACTTCTCAGCCGTTGTGTACATCTAAAGGAAAGCGATCGTGAGGCATGCTACCGAGATGTCTGCGAATGAAGACTGATTGTTGGAATGTAGGTGATCGAAGTGGCACTGGCGACAACGAGGCCAGACGCCGAGCTGACCACGATCGCGCTGATCTGAAGATAACGCAGAATTGGTTGGACCTGATGCAAACAAGGTGAAATTTGGTTACTGGTATGGTGAAGTGGATTGACCCACGGAGTAGCGAGCGAACAACACCTACATGTCAAGGAACCAGTACTGACGACACGAGATGCAATTGCGGCCGATGCACGTAGTAAACGGAACCAGACCGGGACTATTGAACAGAAAGTGAATCAATTACTATTCATGTGCGCTGATCATAATCACGTAGGTCACACGGACGGCAGAAAATTGACGGGGCCCAGCATGAACCAGCCCCAACCTGGTCCCAACCAGAACAGGAGTGGGTTGAACCAAGCACAGTCAGTGGACAGCAGGTGTGGACTAATGAACTTAGACAGACAGCATAAGACGCGACCCGGAGAAATGACCAAAGTCGCTGCGATTGAATACTGCTTCAGGTTATCATACAGTATAACTGAATCTCCGTTACATGATCAACAGCTTTTGGTCACTATCCAGGCTTTGTTTTGATTCTCGAAGGCTAGTCCACCTTCCAAATTTCACAGCCACTGACTTCGCGTCACAGTGCTGGCTTGAACATGCTGCACGTCAGCCACACTGTCGTTTGGAGTGTTTCACGCGCTATCTGCTTCATTCCCAATGCGGGCTATGGGAAGCAGCAGGCACACGCTTGTTGACGGTCCTGTCGTGCCGTTTCGAAGGAAAACGCGCGTCACCTTCATTAGCCAAACTCGGTCGACAGGGACACACTGGCACGGAGACATGGAGATGTCCGACGAAAAGTCACTGACCGTAACGGGCTGTACTCGCCAAGCAGTATGATGGGGTGTGTCATTGCTAGACTGGCTTGCTCTTTTGTCGTGTTCTCATCTGCCAAAATTCAGCTCCATCTAGCGCATGCCAATCTGTGGGTGAACAATCCGGATTTAGTTATTTCGCGCGTCCCCATCAGTTTTTGTGCACGTTGTGTGCATTGCCTAAGTCGCATGCAAGGAAGACCAGAGTGCAATGTCCCTGGTGAAAGGTAAGGCGATCTGAGCTCATTTGGCTCGTCGAATAAGTACGATCACCAATCTCATCAGAGTAGGACGGAGCTGGTCACAGCCGTATGTTGTCAACAAGCGAAGAGATTACACTGGTTGACTAAATTCCGATTAATCTGTTATAATTGATATTTTTGTTGTTTTGAAAGTTGTAAAAGAGAAAACTTGCGTGAAACGCTCATATCTTTAGCAGATTGATTGTAAGCGTACCTTAACTTGACACAGAATCTGAGTAATTCCAAAGGCGTTATCTCATTACCTTTTCAGTGACACATCTCATCATCGTTTGATTATTTTCTTGTTCTCACTGCAACTGTGATCAATCTACTTGTGACTTCAAGCTCCCTATTGCCTGCTTATCATTGGCAATTGCCCAGGCAGTTTATGCTATCTGCGATGTTTAACGACATATCAGGGGAAGCCGTGCCTCTGTAGAGCCAACTTTGTCGTCTGCGTGTCAGTTGCATGTATGACAGTGGAGAGGGGATACTCCGTGTCAAAGATGTCAAACTGAGGACCCTCGAGGGCAACATGCGTCACTTTTGTTGTCATGTAGTCCGCACAATTCAACTAACTGGTCTTTATATGCATTAATATACGTAATCTTTTCAGTATCCTTTGAGTAGGACACAACTGTGCTCCCAAGGGGACGCATCCAGGCCACCGGTTTGACATACCAACCCTATCTCACAGCCAGTAATCGCTCATTGTGCTCTGTCTCCGCCGCCCATGATTCGGTGCTTTAAACCATTTCGTCGTAGAGATAGTTATTGCTTCGGGTCCCGTCGGACTCAAGGGAGAGGTACACAGCTAACTGGTCGCATTTTGCCAAAGGAGCTCCCAAGATTTTACGAGTGCGCGGTCGCTGTGCAACTGAGTTTAGCTGTCGTTATCAAACTTGAGACTTCTCATATCCTTCCACTGCCCACTTTACTCTATTAGTGTGCTTGGCTGGCACTGATAACTTATCTATCGGAGGTACATCCACCACACACTATCGATGCATAGAGAGTTCATCTTCGGTCAACATTCCGCTAGTCTCCCAAATTTAGCTGGTGCTTTGGCTAACTACTCGGATCCGCCAGTTGATGCTTAACGACATACCTTCAGGCATTTGTAAACCTGCATTGCCCACATAGACTAGGTTGAGTCTCCTCCTCATCCCTCCACTGTTTAACTCCGCCTCTTCGGTTCGGTAAGATTACTCTTTTTTCTCGATGGAGTTTATTGGTCACCAGCTGATGAAATAATGAATCTGGCCGGAATCCTGAATCGCTTTCCTGCTTCATCTTGCTGTGGGTAGTTCGTAGAATGGCATAGCTGTCGGGAGCGTACGGTTCTCTTACGTTCGTTTGCTTTCTACTGCTGCTTCCGCCCTCTGTTTGCTGCTCCTTCAACTCCATTTTTCTTCCTTACAGTCTTTCATTTGCTTTCATAGCTATCTCACATATTTGAACCCGACCCTCCTCACCGTTAGCCAACCCCCCTCACACACACACACACACGCATATTGTTCAGAATGTATGTTCCAGCTGCGTATTTCCTTATCCATCCTGTTCGATTGAAGTTGAACAAAATCTTTCCGCATTGGAGTCGCATCTTCGCCACTCAAATTCCTGCGTGCTGTCGCACTCACTCCGGGGCACACCGATTCCCTTTGATGGTACGGTGGAAAGTGAGTCGTCTGTGTTACAATATTTCGCATTGTGCTCACGCATCCTGCCATATACTCCGCTCGGCGTTGTTTCCTTATCTGAATGGTTAATTCGTCTCTACGCTTGTTAGTCTGTGTCACACACGGGAATCTACGGATCGTCTAAGACTCGCCGACTTCAGCGGTCGCTCAAACATTGTCTCCTGGTCACATTCTGTGACTCCTTTGCCCATCGTTTTCCACACGCTCTCTCAACCGGTACACACTAAATCTTATTGGCTATTGGCGTATTTCTAGTCGCCTCGACCCAATCGACACTGGGCTGTTTATCTCTCAATATGGGACACGAAGTGTTAGGTATCTTCTGGCACTTAGTTGCATGTTTGTTTTTGTGGTGACACTGTCCACACATTCTTATTAATCGGTGGGATTGACGTCACATTTTTAATGAGTATGTCTTTTATGTCTGTAGATGCCTTCCCAGGCGCCTCGCACGTGCAAGCACCAGCTCGAGCCGGTACTGCGAAGCTAATCGACTCAGTTCAGCTACATTCCCACCCGTAACCCTAACAATGAAGAGCATCGTATGCGCAATCCTGCAATCATTGTGAACGTGTGTTATTTTCTATCCAGTTCTTCCTTCCATCCAAATACGTGGGTTGTTCGGGTTGCTTGTTGTTGCCTCCATTATAGCACTCAGTTTGGAGAATAACTACAAGATTTCTACAGCATTTACTGAATTCAACAATTTCACGTACTTTCCTCAACTTTTTATATGCCATCTATGGTCTGAACATGTTGCATACTTCAAAGACAATCAACTTGCGATGTTATTTGTGAAATTTAAAGCCTTTGAATGCCATTGAGCTCACGTGAATCTAGTCAGAGGGAAAACAATCACTAGACTCACCAGAGTAAGGCGAGACTGGTCACGAAATCCACCTGTTTGCACAAACTTGGTTTCAACCGCCGAATCGACGAAGCATCAGCGAAATGAAACCGTCGGGGACTATGTTTTCTGTTGATTACCTTAAACCTAACATGTGAGTTTTTGCACAGTGGGCAATCAACTATGTGGCGTACAATAGAGCTGGCGGGTAGCTTTAGACTATTTGCAACCATGTTACGCGGTACATGTTCTGCCATCCTTGTTGAGAGCCTTCTTTCACTTCGGCCAACTGACTTGCTACCGCAACTCATAAGAAGGTTATCCCCTTTACGTCCAATCATCTCAATGATAACTTCATCGTACCAAAACTTTGCCCGATGACTAGCGAAACTCATCGTGCTCATCCAAAAGGAACTGACTGGGTGTAGTCTGAGAGACGTCTGAATTTGCTCGCACGATATGGGATTTAAAAAACAAAGGGAAAGCAAATAGTCTATTTCTAGTTATGCTCATTATTTACGAACGTCCCTTTGGAAGAGACGTTTAATATAACAGACATGCTAACGAAGTCGGGTTCCCAACGCTCCAACTCAAGTTGTTACTCCGCCCATGCATAAGAGATATTCAGTTCTGATTCAGTGGAACCCTGTATCTACAGATCGATGGTGTATCCATGGACCCAGTTTTGGCTGATATCTTCATGGGATATCTGATAAACAGCGAGCTACTTTTCCATATACAAAATGCACACTTTTCTATCCGGTATGTAGACGACAAATTCCTTGTCGTGAACACTCCTCAGTAGGTGGCATAATTACTACAATTGATGAACATGTGCCTTTCCGCGATTAAGTTCACGATGGAAAACAAATCTGAAGGATCCCTCCATTTCTTAGATGTTAACTTACAGTGAAAACTAACATGAATGGGACAATACTTCAACTTTAAAGCTTCTGCCATTGAAATGCAAACGGACTTTAGTCCGTACCACCTTTTTGGAGTTCGTCAGATTTGCTCTCCAGGCACAATCGACAGTGAACTGGAACGCATCATATAGACACTGCAACTGAATGAATATCCCGAGCGTTTCATAGCACGGCACACAAACCGACGGCTCAAAGCTAAACCATTAGCTGATATTCCTAACAAAAGGTATTCATTACGCTACCTTTTACTGGGGACCAAATTGACATTAGATGTCGTTATCGTCCTTGCCAACCTATTATGAAGTGATATTACGAGGCTGAGCTAGTGGTATTGTAACAAACCAGTAGGTTGCTGTGTAAGTCGAACCTGGACCAACTGGCCTCTCCGCTTCATGCATTTACCTCTTTAACTGTGCTGGTTTGTGGCCGAACGAACAAGACGTCTGCCTTGCAACCCCGAAATCGTGGGTACGTGCATACATAGGGGACCGGACAAACCCTCACAGTATCCTTAGCCCACGCTCGATTGGTGGTGGTTACATGACAACACAACTTGTGTGCGGCGTACTGCTGACGCCCTTTAACTGTACTTGCAAGTCAGTTGATCGGATTGAAAGGCGGCTATCAGCAAGGATTGCAGACCACGTCCCGCGTAACATGATTGAAAATGGCCTAAAGCTACCCACTAGCTCCATTGCCCGCCACATACTCGATTGCTCCGTGTGCCAAAACCCACGTGTAAGGTGTAAGATAATTCAAAAAATAGCAACCCCTGCTTACTTCAGTTCGCTGGAGTTTCGGTTGATTGAAACCAAGTTTGTGCAAGCGGGCGGACTTTGTGAGTAGCCTTGCCCTACCCTGGTGAGGCTAGCGATCCTTTTTCCCTCTGACCGGTGTCACGTGCACTCAATGTCTTTTAACCGCTTTGCATTTCACAAGTAGCACTGCACGTTGCTTGTCTTTGAATTATGCAACCTGTTCGCTCCGTAACCTCTATGTAAACAGCTGAACGCAGTAAGCGAACTTACTGCATCCAGTATATTCTGTTAAAATCTGGTTTCTTGCTCACCAGCTCTGCGTCGAACGCAGAGCACGTAGTCGAACAAAGTCGATGTCGGTATTTAAAGAAACGTGGATAAGCGCATTTCCAAAAACCAATATCGGGTAAAATAGCCAACACACTCGGCCACTGTAACTGTGTGGTTCTAGATGCAACTATACACTTATCTCTTTCGTTGCAACGAGACTGGGCTTTAACGCGGTGCGATGATTTGCGTACCTCTTCCACCCATTGAGCTTTCTTGGGCGGTGCCCCCGTGGGACCTTTTAAAGCAGCTCCTACCAGCTTGGTCAATGGTCGGAAAAAGTAATTCTCCTGGTTCTCTACTTTGGGGATTCGAAGTAGGATGGCATCAATTTCTTTAAAACTAGATCATTGCCACCTCCCCGCTGCCTTGCGGACAGGCTATTGAGCCAAAGGCTTTAGTTGAGAACCCTAATCCTCCTCCTGTCTAGGTCTGGGTACCCTGGCAGTATCTCAGTCCGCATACAATCATAACTATTTCCTCAAAATCCAACTACATCCTGCATCGGCTGTCGCGCAGATTATCAAGGGTTACCTTATCTGCTGCATACAACTGGGCAGAGAAGCGAAAACATGCTACTGCTGGCGCCTCCCTTCTTCCTTTTCCACCATTTTTTCTTAATCCCATCCCAACCCCCATTACTAACCTACCTCCTATAGTTTTCAACTTAACTGACAGCAGCTGTAATGCCACTGCAGTCATACCATCCGCAGCTGTCTTTCGTCACCACTCACTGGACACCAATCGGTAGCGGCCCCTAATAAAGGCACACTGTCCCGTTTCCCTGGCGTATTGACGTTTGTTGCGTGTCCCAAACGTGGATCAATAATCCTCACTACCTTGTTGAACTAACTGCGCGCGGATTATCCTCTCTCTAGTGGTTGCACGCATCCGGAGACACTGATGCGGCAGCCTCTGTTCAAGTTGGGGTAGGTATCGTACTCAGCTCCAAAGCTGAGTCATTGCTGGTTGACCGGATTCCGGTGAACAGCCATTTGTGTGCAGCCCATTTGATGACATCGACCAAGGTTGATTCACGAACTAATACAAAACACTATTGGTTCGTGTTTTCCGCTTATGCTCCCACCGACTGCAGTTCTAATGCTGTCAAGGACACATTCTACCACGTACTGAACACGCTACTACGCAGTGCTTCTAGTTCCGATATTGTACTACTTGCAGCGTATAGTTTTCCGACCACAAGTGGCGTTCGTCAGGGTTGTCCGATTTCCCCTTTTCTGTTCAATTTCGTCGTGGATTCTATCATAGAACCTTCCCTTGCGTAATCTCACAATGTAGGTGTTGAAGTGCTGCCTCGTGAACGATTACTTGACCTGGATTATGCGGACGATATTGTCTTGCTATTTGACGATGCTGCGGCGGCTCAATCAACCCTGAATAGCCTCTCTAAAGTGGTCCCATTATTTGGTATGCACTTCGCACCTTCAAAGTGCAAAGTGCTGCTGCCGGACCACTAGCCACTTAATGATTCCTTGACTCTAGATAGCGAGGAACTCGAAATAATTGATCAATTCGCTTACCTTGGCAGCTGTATCAACAGTGATGGGTGCATAACAACTGCTGTCAGTTTGGGCATTACAAAAGCTAGAACTGCTTTTTGAATCTGGCAACAAAAAGGGGTTTCCTTCTGTCTGAAATCGTGTTTACAAAGCCACAGTGAGTGCCGTTCTGCTCTATGGTAGTGAGAATTGGCCCCTTCGGTCTGAAGACCTGAGTAGCCTTCAAATCTTTAATCATTGTTGTCTGCGTAGCATTGCTGGTGCTCGGGTGGCACCAGCGCGTCCGCGACGATGATATGCTTAGGCGAGTACTAGGTAGTGAAAACCAAACTAGTTTCTTAGAACAACGGATGACACTAAATAACTTGCGCTGGCTTTGGCATGTTCTACCTATGCCTGGTCACCGCTTACCGTGGAGGGACTTGTTTTGTCTGCCGGATGTATGTGGTGGCGAAAGGTTTGAGGTGGAAAAAAGTTGACTTGGTAGCGGGAAATGAAGACACTGACGACCAAACTTGGTGCCATTGGTCCGTCTCGCCTTCCTGGCTGGAGTCCACGTGACTCAGCTTGTGCTTGGCTCGAGACTTTACAGGACATGGCT